GGACCTACTGAAAATTAGACTTTTGTCTAAATGGTTTGCCTAAATAAAGTTATTATTATTATTATTATTATTATTTTTTCATCATGATTAAACATGGGGAATTTTCATGTCCATTATCTCCTTTCCGTTCCGTGCGAAGTTTCAACAAACTTTTACATGTACATACACTTAAACTACTTAAACAAGGACATGGCGTAATATAATATTGCGAAATACAAAATAACTCAAATATTAAAAGGATACTACCTCTTATGAATTGTAAATTTCCACCAAACTTGACCAATATGAGTATAGATACATCAGTTGACTTACCTGGTGTCGTACCTATACCTGTAACTGTATGATTCATTCAATTAATAAAATAAGGTTATTATCGAAAGAGTTCGATAAGCATGTTTAAAATAGTCGGGTGACCTGAGTCATTTATACGCTGTTAAATTTTTGCTGTGAAATCTGATTCGATTACCATAATCAATATGACGTCATAACGCGAAACAAATTTTGTCTGCAGGATTCGATTACGCGCTAAGATAAATGCTTTGCAAACATAATTGATTTGGATTTGATACAGTTTAAATGGTTTTCAGACGTATTCGAATCAGATTAACTGGATTTTTTTTTTAATAAAAGCAGACTCTTTTCGGCTCACTGTGATTTTTGAAACTCAACTTTAGGTCCATTGCCAATAATAAATACATGAAAGTATAGAATTTATGCTTATTTAACCAATAATCACAATCAAACACAAATTGTAGTTGTAGGACGAGTGTATTCTGAGGTAGAATTCCTTTAACCCCGTTTCAATTTTAACAGGAAGGAACTTTAAGTGGTTTTTACGTTATTGCAATTGACTTAAAACATGTCAAATCTGTTCATGAGCTCAATATAATCTGCAATTTTCTTTCGATCTTGAGTAAGGAGTTGGTTACTTTTCTGGGTATTGAATAGAAACTTGACAGATTAATCATTATAGTTCATGTTGCTCATTATTGAGTTTAAAAATTATAAAGCTCCTTTGTGGACGTATGTTTACCTTGCCTGGTAAGCTATCTTTGATTTGGGGAAGAAAATAACTCTAATGGTGAAGGAGTTATTTTAACATACGTTTAAAATGTTATCTTCATGTGTTTTTTTTATGATTAGGAACTTGTGGTCTTTGAATATGATATATTCTGATTAAACAGTGTAGTTCTAGATGAATCATCTTCAGATTAGTGTTTTATTGGTGGTGGCCACACTCACACCTTCTGAAGGTAAAAACTGATTTATCTTATGTTTAGGCTGATGGTTTTTCTAAACGGGCTTTTTTGACCATCGAGTCCATGAAGTCCGTGATTTATTAGTTTATGTTTAAAATGTCAAGGATAATTTCGTCCTTACCTTCTTGAATCTGTGGGAATCATTTAACTTCAGAAGTTGTCTTTTCAATCAATCATAGGTGAACATGACGTTTGATCTTTCTGAAAATTAAACAGCTCGCACTCTGAATTTAAGACCATTGAAGATTATCTTTTGTAAGGTTTTAGATTTCACAATTGTGTCATATTATTGATAGTGTTCAAATCTTAAAACATTTTCAGGTTTTAAGTTTGGATTTAATAACAGTTATACTTGTCACTGTAAAAATGATGAAAAATGTGACATTGTTACTGGAAGATGTGATAATGGATGTTTGAAAGGTTGGGGTGGACCTTCTTGTCAACAAGGTAAAACATAAATATTTCACTTTTGCTCAATTCATTACACTTACCGATGCTGGTATTTAGTTTGGGGAACCTTAAAAGGGTTGCAGAAAACGTTTTCCAGTTTTGTTTTGTGTATCTAAAGGCTTTTGCGTTATATTACTTACGTCATAAAACACATAGTTTTCCTGGTATTACAAGACGTCTAACTGACAATTGGAATATGCAAATCGATGCTATAAGTATCCCCGATACACATAAACCGTTTAGAAAAATACCCTTCTGTAATCTAATGCATTGGAATTAAACAGTTAAAATTTGTAGTGGGTTACCCCGATAGAGTTATATATAGTTATATGGTTATCATCGATCATTTGCTTAAATAATAAACAGACCAGAATAAGAGGTCCGCCAGCAGCCTCATTCAAGACCTTCCGATGACTGTAACTGCCTATATAGCTTCCCCGAGACTTATATGCAATTCTACAATTTACACTCAGTCAACAACAAAAACATATACAGCGTGCCCAATGCAGTCATTTGTGCATGTTTGAGTTAACACTCAAAAGAAAGAAAAAAAGAAAATGGGTAGGCTATGCAAATGAATTATACATTTTAGAAGATAACATGGATTCAAACTGAAATTTTTTTATCAATTACATTAGAATGTAGCAATATCGTGAGAAGGGAGAGGGGGGATGGGGGGGGGGGGGGGGGCGC